AAAAACTCATTGATTTGTTTACAAGCAGAAGTGTAAAGTCCTGCTGAAATGTGCTTGATTTCACTTTGGATTCAGACAGTGATTTGCTGATTTGAGACGTGCTCCACTGGAGACTCCAGCGCAGTGATGATTAATGCTGAAATCTGGTTGATTTCACTTTGGATTCAGACAGTGATTTTCTGATTGTAGACTCCCTCCACTGGAGACTCCAGTGCAGTGGTGATTAATCCGTGTAAAATCCTGCTGAAATGTGGTGGATTTCACTAGGGATTCAGACAGTGAGGATTAAACGGGACACCTGGTTTTTCTTTGACTTCAATATCAGGGGAGAGCGTGCACCTTTAAAGGGGGCACCTTTAAATTGTCCTCGTGAAGAGGACATATCAGATATTAAACGTTTTAGGATTGCCCTTTTTTGTGCTTGGTCGGCCAAAATGCCTGAATGAAGTGATTCAATGCGGACAGGTTCTGTGACCGCATTTTACATTCAGGTAAGGCACTGACTTTTTACAGTACAAAGTGGACTTGCAGGTAAGAATGATGACCAAGGAGTCCAAATTTCCCCACCACAAACAGCTGACAGGAAGATAAGAACAACCCAACTCACCTGTTCTGCGTGAGGGGCGAGATCTCCAAGACGAATGAGACTGTCTTATTGCTGATAGAAGAAGCTCTACTCATTATTTGTGTCTCCGGGCATAAAGAAATTGAGGAAAAGAGGATTAAAACCCCTGCCCCGTGTGAGGGTCGAACTCACGGCCTCTTTTATTGTGAATGTCTTTTACAATGAAATGTTTTAGGGTTGCCCTTTTTTCTGTGGTTGGTCAGCCAAAATGTCTGGTTCCACCGAGACCTGCTTCAGCATTCCAAGTATTGTTCTTCGAATCTTTATTCCGACATCTATTTTTTCCATGCCACCTTTCAACTCCTTCACACTTTCAGCTATTAAAACCGTTCAAACATTAACATATTTAGCTTCTTTCCGGGTTTCCAGCTGTGACTTTTCAGCTTTCTACCTCTTCAGCTTGAATTTATATAAATCAATAATCATGAATATTTCTTCTAATGGTTTTCCAATGGAGATCGTGTTCAAATCCTCTTAAACTTCAACTTTCAGATTTTTCAGCTTCGCCATTCTTTCAGCTACAGACACTGTGCTTGCGACTGATTGGATTAATGTGGTTGTGCTGATTGGATTAATGTATTCATGGAATCCCAGAGTTCTTTAGTTTTGGCTTAAGGAGTGTTAAAGTGACAAAACCTCTGCCAAAAGCCCCATAGGCTCAAATACAAATCTGCCGACATATTTCTCAAAAAATCCAGAAGGTACACGTTTTGTCAACTGCGATAGGTTAGTAGTTGTTGGAATGCTTAATGCATTTCCTGCTGAAAATGCGTTGCAAAAAGCTGAAATGAACCTCAGAAAATTGCTGAAATTAAAGAAAGTTGAAGGGAATTTTAGTTCATTTGCTTACATTACAGATATTAGAAAAGCTCAAATTAATTTGAATGAGCTTTAAAACGTTTCCTTAAACAAATCCCGGGCAAAATGGAAAACCAATGGGTTAAAAATGCAATGTTAGTCGCTTTGGATAAAAGCATCAGCTAAATGACCTGTAATTGAATGTTGAGGATCAGGATCAGGAAACATTTATTAGCCAAAATATGTCAAACATACAAGGAATTTGTCTTGGCGGTTAGTGCGCGACAGACAAGACAACAGTGCACAAGTAATAAAATAAAGTGGAATGAAATGCTAGTGCAATGGGTTAGTAGAATAAGGCTAAGGCTATGGGTTAGTATAAAACAAGGGAATAAAGTTAAAAAATGTTAAATATTAAAAAAGTTAAAGAAAAGTATTAAGCATAAAGTGCACTAACAAACAAGTAACAGACAAGAGACAAAGTGATGAATTGCAGTTAAAGTGGCATGTGCAGTGTGAAGGGGAGTGACCGGTGGAATGTTATAGTCAGGCAGTGGGGGACCGGCTCTGTTGATAAGCCCGACTGCCGACGGGAAGAAACTGTTCGTGTGGCGGGAGGTCGTAGTCCTGATGGACCTCAGCCTCCTGCCAGATGGAAGGGGCACAAACAGTTTTTGTCCGGGGTGGGAGGGGTCGGCCGCGATCTTTTTAGCTCGCTTCAGAGAAATGGAAGCTAACAAGTCCTGCAGGGACGGCAGATTGCAGCCGATCACCCTCTCTGCAGAGCGGAGGACACGCTGCAGCCTGCCCTTGTCCTTGGCTGTGGCTGCAGCGTACCAGACGGTGATGGAGGAGCAGAGGACGGACTCCATGATGGCCGTGTAGAAGTGGACCATCATCGTCTTTGGCAGGTTGAGTTTCTTCAGCTGCCTCAGGAAGAACAACCTCTGCTGAGCCTTCTTGGTGATGGAGCTGATGTTCAGATCCCACTTGAGGTCCTGGGTGATGATGGAGCCCAGGAAACGGAAGGAATCCACAATAGTGACGGGGGAGTCACACAGGGTGATGGGGGAGGGTGGGGCTCTGTTCCGCCGGAAATCCACAACCATCTCCACTGTCTTTAGAGCGTTAAGCTCCAGGTTGTTCTGGCTGCACCACGACACCAGATGGTCAGACTCCCCACCTGTAGGCGGACTCGTCCCCACCAGAGATCAGTCCAATGAGGGTGGTGTCATCCGCAAACATCAGGAGCTTGACGGACTGATGACTGGAGGTGCAGCTGTTGGTGTACAGGGAGAAGAGCAGAGGGGAAAGAACGCAGCCTTGGGGGGAACCGGTGCTGATGGTCCGAGAGGCTGAGACATGTTTCCCCAGCTTCACGTGCTGCTTCCTGTCAGACAGGAAGTCTGTGATCCACTTGCAGGTGTAGTCGGGCACGTGTAGCTGAGAGAGTTTGTCCTGCAGCAGAGACGGGATGATAGTGTTGAAAGCAGAGCTGAAGTCCACAAACAGGATCCTGGCGTAGGTTCCTGGGGAGTCCAGATGCTGGAGGATGTAGTGAAGGGCCATGTTGACAGCGTCGTCCACAGACCTGTTGGCTCTGTAGGCGAACTGCAGGGGGTCCAGGAGGGGGTCCAGGAGGGACTTCAGGTGGGTCAGGACTAGCCGTTCAAAAGACTTCATGACTACAGAGGTCAGGGCGACGGGCCTGTAGTCATTGAGTCCTGTGATCCTGGGCTTCTTGGGGACAGGGATGATGGTGGAGGCCTTGAAGCAGGCTGGTACGTGGCATGTCTCCAGGGAGGTGTTGAAGATGTCAGTGAACACCGGAGACAGCTGGTCAGCACAATGCTTCAGGGAGTGAGGGGAGACGGAGTCCGGACCGGCTGCCTTACGGGGATTTAGTCTTCTAAAGAGCCGGTTAACGTCTCTCTCCAGAATAGAGAGGGTCGTTGCTGGTGGGGGAGGGGAAGGTGATATAGATGAAGAGGCGTGAGCACCTGATGGGCTGGGGGAGGGAGGGGAGGGGGACTGCAGCAGGTTGGTGGAGCTGTGGGGGATGGGATCAGGACGTTGTCTTTCAAATCTGCAGTAGAACTCATTGAGCTCGTCTGCCAGGCGGAGGTCATTCATGGAGTGGAGGGTTTTTGGCTTGTAGTTTGTGAGGGGTTTGTCTCCAAACCGAAGCAGAGTCACTTGCTGAGAACTGTTGTTGGAGTTTCTCAGAGTACAGTCGTTTAGCGTCGCTCACCGCCTTGCTAAACTTGTATTTTGACTCTGTGTACAAGTCTTTGTCCCCACTCCTAAATGCCTGATCCTTCTGCAGGCGTAGTGTTCGGAGTTCCGCTGTGAACCAGGGTTTGTCGTTGTTGTAACTCACCCTGGTGCATGATGGTACACAGCTGTCCTCACAGAAGCCGATGTAGGAAGTTACAGCCTCTGTGAACTCATCCAGACTGTCAGTAGCAGTCCTGAAAACATCCCAGTCTGTGCAGTCAAAGCGCCTCACTGGTCCACTTCTTGAATTCCCTCACCACAGGTTTGCAGAGCTTTAGTTTCTGCCTGTATGCAGGAATCAGATGGACCATGACGTGGTCAGAGTGTCCCAGTGCAGCACGAGGGACGGCGTGATAAGCCCTGCTTACTGTGGTGTAACAGTGATCCAGCGTGTTCTCCTCTCTGTTGGGCATTTAATAAACTGTCTGTATTTAGGAAGTTCATGGCTGAGATTTCCTTTGTTAAAGTCCCCGAGGACAATAACTAAAGAGTCCGGGTTGGTCCGCTCCACACGCCGTATCTGGTCGGCGAGTGTCCGCTGTGCCTCGTGCACGTTGCCCGCCGGCGGCATGTAAACACCGACCAGGATGAATGAAGCGAACTCACGGGGGGAATAAAAGGGTTGTAGGATCACCGTTATGTCGTTGCACCAGCTGTTGAAGTAGAAGCAGATTCCTCCACCCTTCGTCTTGCCGGAGAGCTCCGTGTCGCGGTCCGCTCGGAGCAGCTGGAAGCCCGCCAGCTGGAGCGCGGAGTCCGGTATCGATCCGCAGAGCCACGTCTCAGTGAAGCACAAGACGGAGGATGTAGAGAAGTCTCTGTCTCTCCTCATCAGCAGCTGAATTTCGTCCAGTTTGTTGCACAGTGAGCGCACGTTGGAGAGAAAGATGCCCGGCAGCGGAGTGCGAGAACCCCGCCAGCGGAGTCTCACCAGCGAGCCGGCCCGTTTTCCTCTCCTACGGCGTCTCACCGCGTGACGAAAGGTGAGCGCACCTTTGACTAGAATGTCCAGTAATTCCACGGAAGAAAGCAGGAAAGTTGGAAGTAACTCCGCTGGAGTTGTTCCACGGATGTTCAAGAGCTCATCTCTGGTGAAAGAGCTCCGCGAATCCGGGAATCGCAGCAGCAAACGTAATTGATGGACATAGACTCTGCAGCTAGCTTAGCCTAGCAGCAGAGTCTATCCCAGCCAACTTCGGGCGAGACAATAGCTTACATATGTATGCTTTACATGTTTGTATATGAATTAAGCAGTAATGTATTTTGCAGGTGCTGAAAACACATTCAATTCCACTGTAAATAAGTTGCTCATCAACAGAACATTTTATTTTCACACAAACGCTTAAAACAGTATAGTAACAGTAAAGTATTCTGAACTAAACTCAAAACCAAATGGAGCAAAGCGGTGCTACAGCAGCAGAAACAAACTTAAAACAAACATTCTGAAAAACCCGTCTGTCCTTCCATCATCCCCACCATGGAAACCTTTGTACTGCCCCTCCCCTGCCGGCTCTGTAGAGGAGAAGGGAGGCGGCCCCGAGCGCGCTCAGCGCCACTCCGCTCACAGTCAATCGGAACCTCCGGTTGCCACGGGAAGCAGGTCGAGGGGGCAGACAGGGATCTGCAGTCTCGTCCGCCTGACGAGGAAGAAGAGGAGGAGAGGTTCACATGAGAAATCACAGTGCTGTGACCTCATGCATGAAGTAGAGGGGTCATCTGAAGCTAATCCAGTTTGGATTGTAGCAGGTAACTGGTCAGACTGGAGATGTGAGCTCAGTGAGTACTGGGAGGGATTCACACAGGGGGTAACTGGTTCCGTCACAGCACCACAGCGTGACTCGACCAGAGTCACCCGGACTTCCTGTGCGAGTCTAATGACCCGTCTCGTGTGAGGAGGTCTCACGAGCTCCGCCTCCCTTCTAGAAAAGATGACTTGCGGTTAGGGTGGAAGACCAGATTTCTTCCAACTTCTGGAATTCAGTGGGGAAGGTTTTATTCCCACGGGACGTGAATGCAGCGCAGATACCAACAATTCTCATGTTTATTCTAAAATTGGTTCTAGAGATAATTACGATCTGATTTGCTTTTAATTACCTGAAGACCACCATAGTTCTCGAATGGGGAGGCGTGTTTGGTGGGATTGGATGCAATCTGCATCAAAGTCATCATCATATAAATCGTGTATTTCGTTGTCATTGGAACTTGTTTTATTATGCAAATAACCACTATAGATGACAGTAACAAAGTAAAAAGGAAATAGACATTTAGAAATGTCTACAGTTCACTGACTTTGACAGATTAAATCATTTTGCAGGACGTTGGAGCAAAGAGTTAAGCTGTCGAATACAGTTCGACAGAAAATAACTGGCATGTCGAAAATATCTTAATCTCTAATTCAGTCGTTTTTCTCTATTCACCTAATTCATGTAGACTCGCTGTCATTTGCATTCCAGTTGGTGATAACGTCCTGTGAGGTCGTTGCTATGAGAGGCCGGTTTCTCGTTACACTAAGCCAGCGGTTCCCAAACACGAGAACGTGAGCTTCGTTGCTCGCGAGGAGAATCTCTGCTCGCGCTGGAAGGAGTTTTCTACGCGCTCGCTGTGGTTCTTTCTGACAGGGAGGTGGAGACGGTGCGTTCAGGGTCCGATCGATGCCGCGAGGTGCGTCCGCTCCCGCCGCCCCCCTCGCCATCCACGCCTTAAATCTTCGGCTGCTTTTAGAATAACTTATGTTCCCCGTTAAGATGGTTCAGCTACTGTAGAGAAAAGGGCGCCGTCTCTCGCTCTTTAATCTCATGAAGTGCTCGGCGAGAACGACTTTGTTTCTCCGACGCGCCCTGAAAGCAGCTCCGTATCTCACTCAGCATCTCGCCGTGTACAACCAGTACGGATCAACCGAGTAACCGATTGATCCATGTGTATATAAGGCGCTCCGGATTATAAGGCGCTGTCGTTTGAGGAAATTAAAGCCTTTTAAGTGCGCCTTGGAGTGCGGAAAATGCGGTATATTGACTTTAATACTACAAGAGGGCGCCGCGTTTGTTGAACAACGACAGGCGGACAAGAGCAGATTTCCAGCGAGAGCCTTATTGTTTTATTAATCTGTCCGTTTAAATTGTTTGTGCTTCATCAACTAATGTTTAAAATAACTAATGTGCCGCATCATACATTTTATATTAATTTCCAACTTTTAAAAATTGAAAATGAAAAAACATTCATTTATTGTAAATGACCTCTCGCGGCCCACCTGCAGTACCTTCGAGGCCCACCAGAGGCCGCGGCCCACACTTTGGGAATCGCTGCGTCAAGCGATCCAAATGTTTATGCAGAAATATTTATAAGTAGGGCACCAGTTCGTATACGACCGCTACCTACCGCAACAAAATGCAACAGAATTTCGGTGCCTGAGCAGATTGAAAAACTTTATTTACACACTCTGATGACTGTTCTCGCAGCAGCTAACGATAGCCCATTTCCTCATACGAAGATCGGCAGCAGATAGTTTGATCCTTTTCGTCTTTATTTTACGCAGCAAAGCGTTAACTAAATATAGAAATAATAAATTCTGTCACATGGTAGAAAACGATGCAGCTTTTCTGTGTTGAATGTGCTGCAATCATGACAATAAATCGAGCCAAAGAAGGAGCGTGAATCCAACAAATGCGTTTCAATATATATTTCGTATCTTTAGTTCCTGCACAATGAGCACCAGTATCGAAAAAACCTTCAAACAATACCCATCCCTATTTATAAGTGCAGCTTTAAAATTACATCAGGGTTCTTGCACCATTTCAAAAGTAAAATTTAATGCTTTTAAAGACCTCAACAAATATAAATTAAGACCCAAAAATGTCAATTTCTTTGTAATACGCAATTTATTGACTCCTACAATGGAAATGAAAACTTTTTTTCATATTAGGAGACAGTATAATAACTGACAATAACCCTTCCAACACTGTTTGGCCAATATAGATGTAACAATCAAAGTGATTCCTTTGTGATGCAGAACCGAGCCAACACAACGCATTGTGAATCGGGGAACATGGCAGCAAAGACGCCACGTATGTCACCATTCCATTTAAATGAATTGTGCCTCGTCACAGTACCTCTGCCTTTTGGGTGTCTGGTGTTGAAATGAAACCTGTTACAGCCGACTGAGAGGTGGCGTGTGAACTTGTAACGTCGTTGCAGGGATTAACCTGGCCCCGCTATGGCTATGGCTATGGCTAGCTGCTGCAACGTATCGCTGGTGCTTTCCTCCTTTCACGTGCGACTCGACGGCTTTGAGCCCCACGGTCTGAAAAGGTCTTTTTGCAGAGTTTACACATCGCCTCATTGTTGTTTTCAACCGGCGCCGACCGCCTCCTAAACGCGTCCTCTTCCATCCACTTGTCGTTAAATTTGCGACACGCAGCCTGACGTCAGCGTCTGTAGCCGACGTACCGTAAACAGATATTCTATTGCGGAGACGCATTTAGCACAATACTAGATGAATATATTAGATGTTTTACATTACATTACATGTCATTTAGCTGACGCTTTTATCCAAAGCGACGTACAATAAGTGCATCAACCACAGGGTACAAACTCAGGAGAACAAGAAACAACAAAGTGAGATTTCCTCAAATAAGCCAATTTACAATTTGCTATAGATGAGTGACGTTACAAGTACAATTTAAGTGCTACATTTGTCTACATTAGTCGAGGTAGAGTCTGAAGGTGTGTTTTACGATGCGCCACTTTGCTTTCTCATCGGCATTTAGCGCACCGGCAAAAAAATTAATACCTACAGCAACTTTACGTGAAATTTAAGACAATTTAAGACCTTAATTACCCGAATTTTAATTGAAGACATTTTAAGACTTTAAGGACCCGCGGGAACCCTGTACATACTTTCACATCTTATTTTTTGGCATTAGAGATTAAAAATTAATTTGTGTTTTGCCAAATTAGGGCTGGAGACAGAAAAGCTGATGTGTTGGTTTATTAATTAAATAATAATTTCCTATTTCCATTCGGCCTACTCTGCATGACGCCTTTATACAATCAGTCACAACCACAGTCCTCCTTCACATTGCAGATTTTGGTTTAGATATTAACTCTGGTTTCAGTGTGTGTGATTAGTGTGTGTGTTCCACAGATGAGGTTATATTCAGTGTGTTTATGCCGGACAGCGAGTTCAAATGTTGGCATTTCTGTCTGACACATTCAAGGATAATCTGCCCCTCCTCGCAACTAACGCCCCACACACACATTCACACACCCTTTTCTGCTTTCTCCCCGTACGTGCCCCCGCTTCCCCCCTCTTAAACTCCATCTCACACACACACACACACACACACACACACACACACACACACACCTTCCCGTCAGCCCCCCTCATCTCTTCTACAAGGCCATCAGACATCCAGGCGACCTGAAATCGGACTAAGTATCTTATTCTTTAAACCGAGCTAGTCTGCTAAATTTGTTGTTGATTCTAGTGTCTTAAGTTAATTTGATTGCTGGTTTGCTTCAGTTCTTGCCGTTTTACTGCCAGTTCTCTCTGTTTGAAGTTATCTTGGTTGCTAGTTTGCGTTTCACTTGTTTAGTGGCAGTTGGTGTTCTAGACTCTACTATGAAGTTAACTGCCAGTGTGCCCTCCTCACTCTGCTGGGTTTCACCTGATCCAAGTCGGTTTGCATTCAAATAAGAATCCTTAAACTCTCAGTTTGTCAAAACACCACATGGTGATTGTTCACTGATTAGGGTGTCAGGCAATTGGTGCTTTGCATTTCGAGGAGTTTCTGTCGAGGCCGATCGACCTTTAGTCTCCTAAACGACGGGGGAGCGGTCAGCGCAGCCGCAGCCGACTTCCACTATCGAGGGAGTATTTAACTACAGATCGAGTGAAGCGTTAGCTTATCCTCGCAGCACGAAGACGAGCAGGACGAAGACGAGCAGGACAAAGACGAGCAGGACAAAGACGAGCAGGACAAAGACTACGGAGTCTTTCGTGGAGGCTGAATGCGGCGCCTTCTACAAGTTCTAATAATGTGTTTGACCCCTTTACCCGTACGAATCTCTTCCCGCAGATACTACAGGCCTCGGGCCAGATCTGCTCTCTATCGTAACCTCTCCTCTCTCTCCGATCCCACCCGCTCCACTCATGTCCAGCACCTCGTCACAGGAGGCCTCTGGAACTGCCAGTCAGCGACTCGCAAGGCTGACTTCCTCTCCGGCGTCGCTATCCAGCAGTCACTCGACTTCCTCGCTCTGAGACCTGGATCACACATCCACCGAGCCGCTCTCTCCTCCGCCTTCTCCTTCAGCCACACTCCCAGGCCCACTGGTGGGTGGTGGCACAGGTCTACTCATTTCACCCAAATGGAGCTTTTCTCTTCACCCTCTTCCACCATCGAGCCCACTGTCTTTAATTCCATGCTGTAACGGTTACTCACCCGGTGCAATTAACCATCATTGTCCTCTACCGTCCGCCAGGCTCCTTGGCTCATTTCTTGGAAGAACTGGACATTCTCCTGTCTAATTTCCCTGAAAATGTCCCTCCGCTCATCCTCCTGGGTGACTTCAACATCCAGACAGAAGTCATCTGACCTCTTACACCTACTTTCTTCTTTCGCTCTGTCACTCAGTCCCTCTCCTCCTACTCACAAAGCCACCAATCACCTTGACTACATCTTCACTAGAAACTGCTCCACCACCAACCTCTCTAACTCCACTTCATGTGTCTGATCACTTCTTCATCTCTTACTCTCTAAAACTAACGAGCCCATTGACTGACTACCTGTTCGCTCTCCCTTATACTGACTCCTTCTCACTCTTCCATCCGAACGCTGCTGCTCAGACTCTCCTCTCAACTCTTTCCTCCTCTCTAGACTCGCTCTACCCTCTTTCACCCTCCTGTCTCTAACCAAATTCTTACCCTAGTAACCTCTGCCCGTCCGACCACCTGCCCTCTTGACCCCATTCCATCACATCTTCTACAATCTATCGCTCCTGACCTTCCGTTCCTCACCTGTCTCATCAACAACGCTCTGTTATCTGGCTGTTTTCCCAATTCTCTGAAGGAGGCAGGAGTCAACCCCCTCCTGAAGAAACCCACCCTCAACCCTTCTGAAGAAAACAACTACAGACCGGTCTCTCTTCTTCCCTTTTTGTCCAAAACTCTTGAATGTGCGATCATTAACCAACTCTCCTCCTATCTCCACCATAACAACCTCCTTGACCCCCACAACTTTGGCAACGGTGTTAACGCCCACTTTGACTGCAGGAACCTCGGCATGACACTCAACAGCCGACTCTCCCTGACTCCCACCATCACTGACAACACCATCCTGTAGATACTCGCTCTACAACATCAGGAGAACACGTCCTCTTCTCACTCAGAAGGTACTGATTCAGGCTCTTGTCGTCTCCCTCCTGGACTACTGTAACTCCCTCCTGCAGGTCTCCTGCTACCTCCATTCCACCTCTGCAGCTCATCCAGAATGCAGCAGCTCCACTGGTCTTTAACCTTCCTAAATTCTCCCTCACTCCTCCACTCCTCTGCTCTCTTCACTGGTACCGGTGGCTCATCCAGTTCTAAACATGGTGCTCACGTACCATGCTGTGAATGGATGGGGTCCAGCTCACATCCAGGACCTGGTCCAACCCGACATCCCGACCCGCACTCTCCGCTCTGCATGTGATAAACTGCTTGTTCCTCCTCACTGAGAGCAAAACACTCGACTAGATCTCCACTCTTTGCTGTCCTGCTCCTAAATGGTGGAAGGAGGTCTCTGAAGACATCAGGACCACAGAGAGCCTTCACATCTTCAGACTAAAGACACACCTCTTCACACTCTACCTCCACTAACACACTAACTAACTGTAGCACTTACATTGGACTTATAATGGTTCTTATCTACAGCAAGTTGTACATCGGCTTATTTGATGAAATTGCACTTTGTTTCTTGTTCTTCTGAGTTTGTGTCCTGATGGTTGAAATGTTCTTATTGTAAGTCGCTTTGGCCAAAAGCATCAGCTAAATGACGTGTGATGTAATAATCCCTCTGCCTCATCGTCTGACAGGTCGATGTCACAGCGGTGCTGACTTGTGGGCTGTGAGGTGTGTCAGGTGCACACCCGCACATACCTGTTGGAGCTCACCAGAATTCATATGCACACACACACACACAGGAACCATTCATTAATCACAATTAATCACGATGTTGTTGTTAATGAACGTTTGTTTTTTATTACTTTAGAAAGGGTGTATTTTAGACACTTGAATTGTTGAAGAATTACATTGTTTTTTTTAATTAAAAATAAAACTACATTTCCCCTGGCCCCTCGCACCCCGCCTATAATACCTCCAGACCCCACCAGAGGGTCACGCCCCACAGTTTGAGAACCACTGGTGTAGATGTCCGCAGTCTGGTCTCTAAAGTAAATAAATACATGTCGTAAAGTGTGATTCTAGTTTCAATTCTTACTTTGATTTTTTTTTTACGACAATTTAAGACATGCAAAATGATGAAGTACGCAGAGCTCGGCAACGCGCGTGTGTGTGTGTGTGTGGCGGGGGGGGGGTTAACCTGGCATAGCAGATTGCGGAGGCAGGTGACTTCCTTCTGCAGATCTTTGGTCTGGACCACCAGCAGGTTGCAGGCGGCCAGGGCTTCTCTTTTTGGGTCTGGTGAGAAGACAAGCTACGCAGAGACAAAAACACCTGTCAATATTCACAGTTGGTAACTAAGACACTAGCTGTGCACTCAAGGACGGTCGCTGGTCCCATCCAGAGAGGAAGCGCGATGCGGATATTCTCCGTAGTGACCAGCAGGGGGCGACTCCTCTGCTCCCACAGACGTCCATGAGAAAATGGCTACTTCTCTCTTGATTTATTCCCTCAGTAAACATGAGTTTATGGTCTCATTGAAGTCTTCTTCAATACAGCATAATGTACATTTAGTAATAATCAGTCAAACAGACCATAGAGCAGGGATGCTTTAGGGCGGGGCTCTAAGCTACAATATTTAAATGATGGTCAATTTGGTCCATTGGTTGGAAAAAAACAACATTGCGGCAGAAATCCAAGAGTGACGAAAATGATCTTAATTATGCTTAAAGGTAAAAGGTTCAACTCCTCCAAGAAGCATTCAAACTTCACACAATCTGCCCCCTGAAACGTCATCACATCAACTCGCCTTCATCGTAGGCTCTTTAATTCAAGATGACGAACTTTATAACGCAACACATTCTCCTTTTCTTAGACAGACCTGAGAGGCATGGCGAGGAAATTGTCTGATGACGTCCTGAATCGCCTCCGTCAGGTAGCAGCACTGATGCCTCCTGCTTATCAGGAAGTTGTACAGCTCCTCACTCCTGCAAGACACGAGGGACCTATCGTGCATTACAAACTATCACAGGGAAAACAGTGAGAATTTATTGGTCTTATTGTCGCTTAGCTGATCAATAACTCATCCATTTTGATATTTGATTGACAATTTGAATTATTATAAAATACAATTGGGGGGGTTGCAGCTTTTTTTGTTTCATGTCATCTCTTAGTTGGCTGTAAGATTTTTGTGAGAAACGAGTAACAAGTCCACGTCCCTGCTGACATCTTAAACTAAAGACCTTGAACCCGAGGGGACAGCGTCCACACCGTTTACTATAATATTATCCATTTTATTCCTCAGCATCTTTTTGGTCTGCATTTAAGAGTTTTAGCTTGCGTTTATTTCTAATTTTTGGACTGAGAGTTTAGAAAGAAGTGCTTTATAAATCTGCTGCATCATTAATATGAATTGAAAATGTAGTGACTATAACTAATGCAGCTACAGTTCAGGGACTTTTCTTGTTCACGTGTCGGCGCTGTGAAGCTCGGCGCGGAGAGCACAGACCGATTGATTGGCCCTAAACGTGGTGTCAAAATTCTCCGCCCCCCCCACCCGGAGACCACCTCGTTAAAAAACCTGTAGAAGAGCAAGCAGGTGGCGGACCCGCTCCCTCCCCGAGTCACTGATATTCATCTCACCCCGTCCCTCTGGTCCGGTGGGATATTGACGGCTCTCATCTGAATGGTACATTTCCCCTGGTGGGGGGCGGCGCTCCGGCCCTCTGTCACAGGGGCGAGTAAACAGTGTCCGGCAGCCGGAGCTGCACCCTCACCTCCCTTCTCCCCGCTGTTAGTTTATCCAGGCAGCAGAGGGATGATGGGCCCCCGGTGGGACCGCAGGACGCTGCGTGAGGTGGGAGGGCTCGCTGAGGACGCCACTTGTTGTCAGCTTTACTTTTCGTCTGTACGGAGGGGAAATTCCTATTTTTTTCCGGCTGCAGGTGCCTTGCTCAGTGGCAGTTGCTGAGGGGAGAGTGTTTACTTTGACTGCAGACACGTCGCTCAGCAGCCTTTTCTTTGATTTTAGGGACAGAAAAAAATGTATTTAATTTCTTGTATTTAAAAAAAAATATTCCTGCTAATATTTGCATTAAATAATAAATAAAGCATCTATTACGAAGCAAATAAAAATGATACCAAAACTCAAATGACCAAAATACCAACATCAAATCAACAAGGCGCTGATTAAACTGAGTCTTTGCCCGTCTGCTCTCTGTTAAAATGAAGAATACACAGCTCGTCACTCATTCAGCGATGGGGTCGTCCCGACAACGTCGCGACAGCTCCTGGAAAAAGTGGAGCCAAAACATCTGGATGGTCCCCGATGGCTGGCAGGTAGTCGTCTTACTCTTAATTTGATATGCAGCAGTTTTACCTTTGAGTGGAGCATTTTAAAACACCAATATGTTGGTATATAATATCAGAAACTGATCCAGGACCTGGTCTGTCTCTTTGGTCGTGGCTTAAAGTCAGTCTGCCGAAGCCAGAAGAGCGACTTTACTGAAACAAACTCCGTGATGAGCTTTGACATGTTGGGACCGTTAGTCAGAGAGAAGAATCCCCTCAGAGCTTATTAGTGCCAATGCAAATTCAGTGGACTTGTCCTCACAAGCAGGCCGATCAATAACCTGCTTTCCACTTCACTAGTCTATTGACTACTAACTATTCCCACAGGTCACACACACATGTAGGGACAATTAGGACTATAATCAGAACTATGAGCGAAAAAGAGGGATGGTGAAGGTGGTCTTTGGCTCCATCAGACCTCTCATCCTGCAGCTCTGCTGAGGATTCATTAAGTGACGGGTGCGATGGCTTTGTTTGGCCCCTGCCGCTGGCTCAATGTGGCCCTCCCATCGCCTCTCACCTTACAAATCATTAAACCATTAGGACCGGCTCGGGGCTGAGGGGGGGGCACGGAGCACAGGCAGTGAGATGCTCATGGGGCGTGATGAACGACTGCCAGTAGAAGAGGACAGAGCATGACGGGGAGTTGGAGGCCTGACAAGTGTTGCTACTAGAGTCAACACTGGAATTCTTGTTTTTTCTCTTGTGTGTGCAGCAGACAGATGATCTCCATCTTATTCATAGCGGAACAAACCTTTTGGAATACTATAAAGCTTTTCGACAAAGCGTCCGTAGGACACAGCGATGTCTGTGGGGTCCGGTCTGGAGACGGGAGAGGAAGAGTGTGCACGGAAGAAGCCTGATCACATCATTACGACTAATGATGTGATCAGAACATAAGAAATGGGGACGATCCTCGGTGATCCGATTTTTCCTTGTTTCGTTATAGCGAAGGTTTACGGGGCTAGAGAATACTTCTTTTTGGGTCAGCGTCACTAAAATGATTTCAACACTTGATATAACTATCAGACTCCGCGGTTCACATGCGCATGGAACCTCTGCGGTAGAACCTAGCGCGTCACAGATTGCCGCTCTCTGGAGCGCTGGCGTCTGAATGCTGGGGAGATGTGGTTCCATACCCGCTGTCTGCTGGGCTCGGCAAGCTGATTGAGCCCAGGTCCACGTGGTCCAGGTGCATCTGCTGCACAGCGCTGAGCAACTTCTGCTGGTCCTCCGGGTCTGTGACGCCGACCTGACAAACAGAAACTAGTCACTCTTTTTATTCATTCAAATCTATTCTCTTGTGCACCAAAAGATGACCGGTACCTATCGGATAGGTTTGCCTGTAATCCATAATAAAGTCTGTCCCAAGGCAGCAGATTCATTTCAGAAGTGCGAGGCAACGCTCGGCAGGGCAGTGAAGTACACAAACATGTGGGCTGCACTTCCTCTGGTGACCACCAGTCAGCGACTGTTCCCATAGACGTCTATGAGAAAATGACTACTGTTGACTTATTCCCTCAGTAAACGAGTGTATGGTCTCAACATCTAGCCTCAATATGGCCTTCTCATCATTGGCTTTTGGCAGCCAATGAACAGAAGTTATCCTGTTTGGAATGTGGAGGAGTGACGTAGAGATGCTGTATATGAATCTGTAATAGACCTGCCACTTCTGCGTTGGCTTCATTCTGCAGAACCCAAAGTTTCCAGCTGATGGTAAGTAATGCTCTGAATTATTGTGACGCCTAAAGGCACAGTGAAATGTCTACGGTGCACCTGAATGAAAAGGGTTCTCAGGATCTCTGTAATGGCCCAAAGGTGGGAAACCAGACAAACCGTGGACCGGTTTGAGCACTCTCTCAAGTTTACAGAAGCATTCGGGCATGAATTATCTTGGAATACGCTGCCAACAACGATTAACCGTTTAATCCCCCCACGACCAGCCGTTTCTTTCTGGGTCGCAAAAGAGCTGACAGACAAACAATGTTAGTTATCCTCTACCTTCTGCAGGTCCTCCTCCTCCATGGTCAACAGGCGGCTCCAGGTGATGTCATTTTCCTGCGTAAATGAGAAGGGAAAGGGGGAGAAATGTACCGAATCAAAACTTTGTGCTGTTGAAGCAGATGTGCCTGCATGGAGCAACAATGGACCTGCACCCCTCAAACATGGAGCTCCAGTTGAGCCACAGTGGATCCATTATGAACCAGTCATCTCGTGTCTCTCTGCCAATGGGGCAGCTGTGCTCAACACATCGTAGCTCACCCGTTGACTTATTATTCACGCCACCATGTAAAGTGTATACACTTACATGCACTCGGTACTTACAGCAATGATGTCAGTGAGGTGGCCGAGACCCAGGCCGTGCATGAGCAGCTCGAGGTCGTCCAGCTTAGTCACGCTACGGAACAGAAGAATTCAACGTGAAGTCTATTGACACAGAACGAACTATGAACTGAGCGAGTACGATCCAGCTGTGAGAGAACTGAGCCAACTATGTTGTAATGTTCCAGTTTCCAGGAGGAGGGTTATTGAGTGGGCACCTAAGGACCTAAATCATATAAGTATTACTTTAATTGTACTCAAATTAACATGTTTAATTATATACTATATTCAGAATTTAAAAACATTTAAAATTGTGAATCATTCCACCAAATGAAATAGGACTATCCTACTTCATTGTGTAAACTATAAAAACAAAATCTCAACATTTGTTTTTGCTCATCATGTACACGAGTACGTGCAGCAGATTCATTTTTTAGAGTGTAGCACTAACTAGTAAATAAAGTTTGCGTCCCCTGTAAACGTAACTGGTGACTTTTAGGATTTTAGAACTGAATTAATTATGACAAGTGGCCAAACGCTTAAGTTCAAGCCGTGGCTTGAAGACCAGCAAAAACCCCTGTGAAGTGTGCTTGAGCAATGAACGACACCAGCAGTTCTGAATGGAAGCCTTTGAGCTTCCTGTAGCGTCGTCGGTCAAATGGAAATGTCCGTCTCCTTTGGCTGCGACCGAAGTGTGAGAGTTCAGACGCACCAGAGTATCGTTGACGGGTCTCTGACTACCAGAAAAGGTCTGCGAGGACCCGTTTCTGGGCTGACAGTGATCAGAAACTCCAACAACAGTTCTCAGCAAGTGACTCTGCTTCGGTTTGGAGAGGCCTCAAACACCTCACTAACTACAAGCCAAAAACCTCCACTCCATGAATGACCTCCGCCTGGCAGACGAGCTGAATGAGTTCTACTGCCGACTGATCCCATCCCCCACAGCTCCACCAACCTGCTGCAGTCCCCCTCCCCTCCATCAGCACCGGTTCCCCCCAAGGCTGCGTTCTTTCCCCTCTGCTCTTCTCCCTGTACACCAACAGCTGCACCTCCAGCCACCAGTCCGTCAAGCTCCTGAAGTTTGTGGATGACACCACCCTCATTGGACTGATCTCTGGTGGGGATGAGTCTGCCTACAGGTGGAGTCTGACCATCTGGTGTCGTGGTGCAGCCAGAACAACCTGGAGCTTAACGCTCTGAAGACAGTGGAGATGGTTGTGGATTTCAGGAGGAACAGAGTCCCACCCTCCCCCACCACCCTGTGTGACTCCCCCGTCACTATTGTGGACTGATCGGCTGCAATCTGCCGTCCCTGCAGGACTTGTTGGCTTCCAGGTCTCTGAAGCAGCTAAAAAGATTATAGCCGACCCCTCTCACCCCGGACAAAACCTGTTTGTGCCCCTGCCGTTCGGGCAGGAGGCTGAGGTCCATCAGGACTAAGACCTCCCGCCACACCAACAGTTTCTTCCCGTCGGCAGTCGGGCTCATCAACAGAGCCGGTCCCCCACTGACGGACTATAACACTCCACCGGTCACTCCCCTCCACACTGCACACGTCACTTTAACTGGTCACTTTTCACTCGTCACTTTTGTCACTTCCTGTTCGCTAGTGCACTTAATAAGAAAGAGGTTCGACCGTTTGTTGACATTTCAGCTTTTAGCTCGGTGGCGATCGCCAAAACCCACCCGGAAATCCCACAAATGATCAATTTCGGGCAACGTAATCTTTCACAACCGGACAATTAAGCTGGACGTCATAAGCGATGTGAAGGAAAGAGATGGTGTGAGATTCTGCAAGAAGACCCAATGCAGTGTAGGTTTACATACATACATACATACATACATACAGGGACTATTTTTCTCTACACTACTGAAATGCGATACACAACGTTTGGTGGCTAATCCAATTTTGTGCTGAAAGGCAGCTATTTATGTACTATTTATAACTTATTGCTTAAATATTACACATGAAAATGACAGACATTAAACCTGAGTCCTGTAGGTAAAATGATCGTAACTGAGCGGAGGAATTAAGAATAAAATGCTCATAATTGTGTATATATATTTTACTATTGTTCCTTTTTTAATACGTCTTTCTGCTGCCAAAACTACACCAAATGTGACAGAATAATGACAAAATAATTTATACACAAAAACTGTGGGCCTGAAAGACTGGGATGGTATGACCTTTCATTGGACGGTGGAGGTGCAGAGTTTGTCATGAAGAACCTTGAGAGGGTCTCCTCCGTGGAGAAGAAAGCCCGGGGGGCTGACGAGTGGGACGAAGACGCCAGAATCCTGATCACCTGAACGTTAGGATGCGCTGACTCATTGATCATCGCTTCTACAGGCCTTGGAAAACTGGTGATAGCTAGACTAGATTTTAAGAATACATGCCATGAGAAATGGCCAAAAGGCCACATGAATGCAGTGTTTTGAAATGCATCACAGCGCGGCTTCAGGTACCTGCGTGTGTTTGAAGCGCACAGCCACGTCAGTAGGGCTCTTGCCAGCCTTGGTCCTTATAGTTTTGTCCGCTCCCAGCTGAAGGAGCTGCAGCACGGCCTCCTCTCTGTCGTACTGCACTGCAATACACAGAGCCTGCCGGAGGACATCAGTGTGACTTTATCATAGGCCAAGTAATCCCTCAGGAGAAGAGCTAGCAACTTTAGCAGCACCGCTAACAGTTCGCTTCAGTTACAGTGCGATGCCTTTAGGCTCTGCTCAGTGAAAACTAAAGACAACAAAAAAACTCCACATTTTACTTCCTTATTCAAATATTTCACATCATCCTATTGAAAAAACAAAAGAAAAACAGTTTCGATCCGTTCAGATCAGCTGCCAAGATCAAACAACATAGCGATTTGTATCTGCTGATCTGGATCAGCAATGAGTCAATGAAAAGTGCATCGAACACGTACTTCTTCTTTACTAAGTTAGCACTGACCGTGTATCCGTTGGCGTCCTGGACGTTGATGGCGGCGCCGTGGGACACCAGCAGGTTGATGACCTTACTGTGGCCGTCCCTGGCCGCCAGCATCAGGCAGGTCATTTGAGACCTGAGCAAGATGAAGAGGGAAAGAGATGATGATGAAGGTACAGAGACACACCAGCAGGGGGAAGCACACGTCACCTTAAAAACACAACTTACAAGGGACATGAACAATCCGAATTCTGGGTAAGTAATAACTCCTGTAGGCTCTAAAAACGTTCAACTAGAAGAGAAATAACATGTATGAACAGTAATAACTTCATATTCCTTGATTCTAGATTTTCCATGTGGCTTTTATTTGTTTTCACTTGTTAAACTTAACATCTTTGAACTTGATGACAAACTTATTATGTTGTGATAAGAACTTTTAATTGATAAGAATGATAAGAAAAGTGATAAGAATTTTAATTATTTTATTCGGATATTAACGCGTCATGATGACGTCACCCACGAACCCAGAACGCTCGCATCGCTGCAGCGGTGCTTCTTGTGCACCGACTACGCACCGCGACGACTATTTTACGCTTCGGCGAGTTTGAACGTGGCTTCGTTAGTTTAGCTCAGCTGTCTCTGGTTAGCTGCCTGTTAGCTGACTGTTAGCAGGCTGAAGCCGCGCTGCTTCACAGAAACATGAAGACGCGTTTAAAGACCGTCGGACCTTTCTGCTCTGTTCTCTGGCGACGGCAGGCAGCGTTTCCTCGCTGGATGAGACGCTCCGTCACAAACACGTCTAACGTAATAAACTCATTGCAGGTTCTGAAGCCAAGAAAATAATGTATTGCAGCGATTGTAGGACGTTAAGGTCTCTTTTGTTGGGACAGTTGGAAACAATAAAGGAGCATGAAGTGTCAAAAGCATTGCAAGTAAACAGACAAAGACAAGTGTTGCGTTTAGGTCCCTGGTCCTCATCAAGTTGTTACACCTTTGCCAATTTGTTAAATTGCTTTGCAAATAAATGCTTTGCTATTTGTTAAAATCCAAATCCTTTCATGTAATGATGTTTCACATGTCATTTATATCAGCTCACACAAACACTTCATCCATTTGTTCTTGGCCCGGCTCCTCCGTCACATTTTACAACCCACTGTGGCCGCGAGTCAAAAAGTTTGTCGACCTGCTATAGGCCTGTCCTATAGGAGGGACATCTATAGGCCTGTCCTATAGGAGGGACATCTATAGGCCTGTCCTATAGGAGGGACATCTAATGGACAACCAAGTACTGCGAGATAGACTATTATGCAGCTGTAGACACAACACAACGTACATGCAGCGCTTTCACATGAACAGATTATTTTAGGTCTGCTGTCCTTTGTCTTGTCTATACATTTGAACTTATAAAAAGGCAAATTACTGAAAAAGTTGCGTGTTGTAACACCGGCGGTGATTTAAATTAAATACACATTGTTGCACATTGTTGGACATTTAACTTGAGTTTTCAGGTGAGACTGACATTTATTTGGGTTTCAGAGAGTAGATACATTCCACGCTGATTGTTGAAAGGATGCACAAAGGCAGTTCAGTTACACCCTTCCAACAACTTATGTGGAAACCGAACACGAGAAACCCCAAATAGGCTTTAATGGATAATTTGATGGTGTTGGTTTTAAATGAAGACGTCTTAAATGTCAAATGGCATCTGAACATCTAAAACGCTGACAAATCCAAATCCAACGCTGTTGAAGCCACGGTTTTAAACGACATTTAAAAATGATTTACCCTGGTTCTCCACCCTTCACCTACAAATGTAAAAAAAATCCTCGAGCTCCGCCCCCTTACACTGCGTGTTTGTTTGTCCGTCTGTCCGATACCAGTCTGTACATGCACATGCCATGACAGGACATTCCAAACAAAAACACACCCACTGGATGGAGTTCTGCGGTGGCAGCTAACGAGAACCATCATAGGACATTTGATTTGGTTTCTTTCCTCTCCCCTGAAGTCACGCCTGGAGTGCTTCTATTTGGCCGGGTTGGGACAGTGCGCACTGTGCACGAACTCCTATAAACATTTTGACCTGAAACATGTACCCAACCGCTCCCCTCACCTGTCCACCATGTTGGGATCAGCACTTCTGGATAGCAGGAGCTCCACACAGCGAGCGGTTTGGTCTTCAGTGGCAGATGCCGTGCAGCTGGCCATGAGCACCGTCCAATGGTCTGTGGACCCAAAAGTAACATTTCATTATGCTTACTGGAGAGGAAAAGTCTCAAGACTTTTAGATGATATCCTCATCTTTGGATTGTGTGGAGCCAGTCCTCTGTAGCTACACTTCTTCAGGATTCAACATTCTATTCCAATGTTTCACTGGCAAATACTCGCAGTACAGAAGCTTAAGACACTCATTTCTGTTTCACTCCACTGTTAACAGACTTTTAGCATAGCATGCTTAATGAAAGCTAACCAGTCTGCATCGACAGAAAGATACAATCAAGAGTTTGAGAAAGAAATAACAGTTTGGCCTTTCGAGGGGAACAACAGAGCACTGTGGCTGATCAAACATCCTAACGGAATAGAGCCCGAATGCATCATAATGAAGGCTCTCGTCCTGCAGATCAACACGACTGCTGATCATAGTAACATCACCATGGAACAAATAAGGTCTTCCTGTTCACTGAGTCTTTAGTGATTTTTGACAACATTAGCAGTACCTGCGATGGTGTCGATATTTTTCCAAACGGATGATATGTGCTCAAATATATTTGGTTCATTATGGAGATGGATAGGCATTTATCTGGCATCAGGAGGTGCGGCGGCCTCTACGGGGCAGAGTGACTTCCCGTATCTCGTCCTGATACGATCGGTCTGAGACTCACGGCAAAGAGCATACCTGTGGGTATCACAGCATCCCAGTGTGTATTTGTGTGCGCATGCATAGCTGGATGTGTCTGTGCACATGTGGCTCTACATCAGTGTGTGTGTGTGTGAGTGCGTGTCTACACAACGCGTGTGTAAACCAGACAGCCCGGTTTTGCGTCTACAGAGAAGGGGAGTAAGTACATCCGAGGCCTGAGAAGTGGTAGAGGCGGCATGACGGCAGTACGGTGACCGCTATCACTCGTGCATTCCTTGCCCTCGGCCTCGCCGCTTTGCCTCCCGCGCCACTGAGACGTGACCACACGTCATCCCTACTTTAATTATTTCCTTCACCTGCCTAAAGGATCAGATGCCGAGACCATGTGAAATCAGTCACACAGTCTCTCTCACACACACACACACGACGGAGGAGTCTAATCAGATATCGAGAGCATGACCGCAAGTTCAAGTTATTTCACTTTTAATTGTATTAGTCATGACCAGCATTAGTAGAGTAACAAGCTTGTCAAACCAGAAATAATGACATAGTTAAACGATCATGGGTGAAACAGCATTAATGCCAACGGTTCTTGGCCAATATATCACAAATTTGCATTTGTGCTTTCTATTGGTTGATCCCTGATATTAAAGCGGTAATAACTAATGTTTCTAAATTGACAAGAAGTTGAGAAACACCGGCAGCACCGCTAACTGACCGAGGTTCATTTTATACTAGGGCTGCAACAACGAATCGATAAAAACCGATTATTAAAACCGTTGGCAACGAATTTCATTATCGCTTCGTTGTGTCGCGCGACTATCATGTTTGAGTATTAAAAAAAGTTGAGCGCTCGCGCAGCAGTGCATTGCTAAGAAAAATAAATAAGAGCAGAGCTGAGTTAGAGGAAAGACCATCGGAGAGACCCGTAATATTGTTCTGAAACATGGCGGAGGCAGAGAAATCAATGCGACCTAAATCCTCCAAGGTATGGGAATATTTCACACTGAATAAATCCAAAAAGTGTGTTTATTGCAAGAAATGCAAAAGCGACATGGCCTGGCACGGGAGCACCACGGCGATGATTCAGCACCTTAAACGGAAACATGTTGGAGTCCTTGATGAGGAAGGGAGTTCAACAGCAGGGTAAGTCACTACAAATTACCACTTTTGTTTCGTTTTCAAGTAATGAATGTAACGTCGCTCTTCTGGTGTTTACTCGTTATCCAGCTGAATAAGCATGACAAGTTAGCGTTAGCTCGTTAATAACAGTATTAAGCTAAAGCAGGGGTAGTAGGGTAGACAAAAGACGTTATTGCCTTGCCTTTTTTGGCCCATTAATATTTCAATCTGTTGTCATGTATAAGCAATCAAAGTTCTCAGTAGTCTGTTAAAAAAAAAAATAATAATCTCTAAATTAGGCTGTTATAGACAGTGGACTAAACGCTAGCCATCTCATTCCAAGATCTTTATGTGAAGTGAACAAATCGGTTTTGTGCTATTACACATACTCATACTATATTTTTGATTCCAGAAAAAAAAAAACAGCAAACCATGAGAGGCTTCTTGATGGGAAATACATCATGAACACCACAGCAAGCTGCGGTCTTGGCGGATAGTATCCTCAACATGCTTGTCACTGACATGAGGCCTCTGTCGATGGTTGACGGCTTCACTAAAATGATACACAACTTAAACCCTGGTTACGCTTTGCCCTCCAGGACCCACTTCACAAAGCTCATGGAGAGAAAATATGAAGAGACATTCACGGAAGTGAAGACTGCAATAAACAGCAACAACAGTAAACTTGCTCTTACCACTGATGTTTGGACAAGTGTAGCGTTACTACATCACAGATGACTGGAACATGCAGTCAATCTGCCTCACCACCGTGTCACTGCCGGACAGACATACTGCATCGAACATTGCAGAGTGGTTGGAGCAGGTAGTGGCCAGACTTGAAATTCCGCATAGCAAAATCATTGCCATAGTCCATGACAATGGTGCTAACATTGTGTCTGCTGCAAATATCCTGGAGGAGAAGCATGGGTGGTCCTCTGTCCGTTGCACTGGCCATACTTTGCAACTTGTGATCAATGCTGCGTTGAAGTATCCAGGCATTAAAAAAGCTGTCGGGCTGCAAGATGTCTAGAACATTTTAAGAAAAGTGAGCTAGCCAGCAGTAAGCTCAGAGAGAAACAACAGCAAATGAACACACCTGAGCACAGCCTTGTTCAAGACGTAAGCACCAGGTGGAATAGCACATGCTACATGATAAGGCGACTGCTTGAGCAGAGGTGGCCTGTAACAGCAACACTGTCTGACAGCTCGGTCACACAGAAGCAAAAGGTACCTGGATCTGCAATCAGACCAGTGGAGCCTGCTGGAAGAGCTTTCAACACTCCTCAAGCCTTTTGAATGTGCCACTGTGTTCATGAGTGGACAGAAATATGCAACAATACCTGCAATACCTCCACTTGTGAAGGGGCTGTTGAAGTCCACCCAGAGTGCTGCCTACGAGGCAGCACCGCTGCGGGCTTTCCAGCTTACTGCTGTGCAGTTAAAGGAGAGATGGAAAAGGGAGACTGCTTTCTCAGATGGAGCACCAAACAGTGATTCTTGCGATGGCCCTTGACCCAAGGTTTAGGAAACTGAACAAGTTTCTTTCACCTGATGAAGTCCTACATGTTCAAACAATGGTACTTGAAGAGAGAAGGAAGATGGATGTGCAGCAGCATGGCAGTGTTACCTCCACCTTTACTACAGCTACCGGATCAAACCCTCCAGCCACTTTACTTGACTCACTCCTTGGTTCTTCTGATGATGAAGAAGAGGATAGAGCAGGCCAAGCTGAGGATGATGTCCACACCCAAGTGAGGAAAGAAGTCCTTACATACTTTGAAGAAAAAAGCCTTGCCAAGGAAGAAACCCCATTACTGTGGTGGAAGGTCAACAATGACAAATATCCCACGTTGGCCAGGCTAGCCAAGTCTTACCTATGCATCCCTGCCACCTCAACACCTTCTGAGCGGCTGTTTTCTGCAGCAGGAAACATAGCCAGGATCATGTAGACATGCTAACATTTTTGCATTGCAATGCAAAGTGTCTGAACACAGGGAGTGAGAGAGTGAGTGCGTGTGTGTGTGAGTTTGAGTGTGTTTGTCTGAGTGTAGTAGATAAGTTCAGACGTTCAAACAAATACGGTAACTGTTAAGTTTTCTGATTTGTATTTGTTACTCAGACAGCTCAGGTGCCTTTAAACAAAAATCTAATCCAAGTATTTTTTGTGCCTAATATATTTAATTTGGCAGCTGTAAAGTATACATGCGATGTGTGTGTTTTTTGTGTTAGTCCATTTTATTCTCTTACTTAGGGATGTTCAAGGAGCAATCTGTTTGTGCACTTTCTAAATATGTTTTGCACGGTCAGTTCCATTTTTCAATAAAGGGTTGAAAATTAATGTTTTTGAATTTATCCGATACATCGATTAATCGAACAAATTATCAACAGATTAATTGATTGAGATAATCGTTAGTTGCAGCTTTATCTAAAAAATAAATTCCAGCTGCTATAACAATAAAATACCTGACTTGTTTCAGTCATAAAAACTGTTTAACTATTTTTTAGCGTTAACTGCATGGAACATGGCAATGACTATTGACCCTCGGCAACTGCTTCACAACTCATTCCTCGTAGAATTACTGACCTAACTTTTGAGTACTAGCCAATTGTTCTCTTTAATCAGTCTCTCATAATCACGATCACAGCTCCCTAGAGACATTCCTTCAATAACAGACTGATCATCCGCTGTGATCGACACAAATTTGCTCTGACTGGAAGGGAGTTGTCTGCTTTCTATGGATCAGACGTGACTGAACTACAACATGTTTAATGTTTCCAAGGATCTGTAATTGTAATTTTTCACACAGGATTCACAGTTCATTGTGAATAGAGCGACAGACCTCAGAACATGAGGGTGCTGCGTGTATGAACTAAAAACAACTCAAGAGGCTCGGCGTTGTGTTTCTGCAAGAGTTCTTCTTTGCCGTCATCGCCATGAAGTAATAACAGATGAAGCGTGTTGGTGCACGGGCCCGATTGGTCGCCCGATCTTTGGCTGCAGCAGGTGAGGAAATTGGAAAAAGGTGCCACGGGGGAAAGGATAGCTGAACGCCAACGCAACGGGGGATTGTCAGGAAGATTTGGCATGGCGGTTTGATAGCCAAGCCTGGAAGGCAGCAGTGTGATCAAACTATCAGCCAGGTTGGGTTTGACTCTGCTGAGAAGTGTTGGTTGAGGGATGGCTGAGAGATCGGCCGTGGCTAAAATCCAGTTTTGATATCGACCGTCAATCCAAAATTGAAGGAGTTCAGGTTATTTCAGTTTTTAAACAAATGTATGTACGCTACTTCCATTCCATGTCAGTGTGTCTTTAATGCTTTTCAGAGACACTCGCAACCAATATTAGCTGCTTTGTTTCAAAAATGAAAGTGCATCATTTATGCAGCACGTATAACCCATTTGAATACGCCTTGGCTGTGTGTTCATAATTTCCCAGTGGTATTTGGAGAAGTGACTGAGTAGAGTAAATCGCCTGGGCTCGCCTTTAAACTACAAACAATTAAAGCAAACAAGAAGTTGTCTGTATTTGGACGTGGCCATTTTTCATTTCATCAAGTACTTAATGAGAATTATTTTCTGGCGAGAACCTCTGTCAAACATAAAGATCTGAATTAATCTGACCTTTGCTGAAGTTTGCGCTAGCCCCTCTGTCCAGTAGCAGTTTGGCCAGGTCGTAATTAGCCACACTGACGGCACACATCAGAGGAGTCCATTCAAAGCGGAGCCTGGTCTCCACGTCCAGGCCTGTCCAAACCAATCAGATCATTACAAAACTCCCTCCAGCTCACATACACACATGGAATTAAAAAGTCTGACAGATAACTTGCCATTGTCCAACAGCTGTTGAACAGTGCCAATGTCTCCTTTATCGATGGCTCTTTTCATCAGTGTATCTTGTGCTACAGCGTCACCCACATCCTGTGATAATAACAAGATCAAAAATAATTCACCATACGAAATTACTGCAAGAGAGAACAAGTATAAAGACATTCCTATGAAAATTAAATAACAATAACATTAACTATCAGGGCCACTGTTCCACCTGCGTGTGTAAGGATGCAGTGATGTTAAATATAGTAATGACCAGCTCTTTCCCTTAATATTGTACCTGTGGCAATGCTAAACAGGCAAATGCCCTGCCATCAGGTGTGAGTAGCATTGACAGGTGACTGAATGTCTTAGGTGTCCAATGTAAAGGAAATATTACCGGTGCTAACGAATACTACAAAGTTAATACTGTGTACTAACGTTGACAGTTTCTGAGAACAACTCATTTTATACAGCACAACGAATGCAAACACTTTCATCACTGCTTAATCTGTTCATTATTTTTCAGAATTAAGTCATTTATGATTTATTCCATAGAATCATGAATGGCTTAATTCAGAATGTCAGAAAATAATGAAATGTAAGGAACCGAAAGACGTGACAATGGACAGCTGCAAATAGGCTACTCAAATCCTACAAACAGAGCAGAGGATTTAAGGCATTTCGGCATTAAAAATGAGGCCGAGCAGGATCAGCTAATCATTGACTGAAATGAACAAATCTAGTAATCAGTTCTAAGTTGAATGTTAACTAGAAGTACAAAAAGCTGTTAATACATTTTTGTTTTACAAGACCTTTCAATGGCTGACTCATAATTAGCACAATTTGCTTGAACATTAACGTTAATTATGTTCAGCTGTAAAGCTTCTATCAGATGATTTAGACCAGCGATTCCCAAAGTGTGGGCCGCGAGAGGTCATTTACAATAAATAAATAGTTTAATTTTCAATTTTTAAAAGTTGGAAATTAATATAAAATTATTTCTGATGCGGCACATTAGTTATTTAAAACATTAGTTGATGAAGCACAAACAACTTAAACGGACAGATTAATAAAACAATAAGGCTCTCGCTGGAAACCTGCTCTTGTCCGCCTGTCGTTGTTCAACAAACGCGGCGCCCTCTTGTAGTATTAAAGTCAATATACCGCATTTTCCGCACTCCAAGGCGCACTTAAAAGGCTTTAATTTCCTCAAAAAACGACAGCGCCTTATAATCCGGAGCGCCTTATATACACATGGATCAATCGGTTACTCGGTTGATCCGTACTGGTTGTACACGGCGAGATGCTGAGTGAGATACGGAGCTGCTTTCAGGGCGCGTCGGAGAAACAAAGCTGTCGTTCTCGCCGAGCACTTCATGAGATTAAAGAGCGAGAGACGGCGTCCTTTTCTCTACAGTAGCTGAACCATCTTAACGGGGAACATAAGTTATTCTAAAAGCAGCCGAAGATTTAAGGCGTGGATGGCGAGGGGGGCGGCGGGAGCGGACGCACCTCGCGGCATCGATCGGACCCTGAACGCACCGTCTCCACCTCCCTGTCAGAAAGAACCACAGCGAGCGCGTAGAAAACTCCTTCCAGCGCGAGCAGAGATTCTCCTCGCGAGCAACGAAGCTCACGTTTCGCAAGCGAGCAAATACCTCGCGGAGACGGACTTTAGCTGGCGGATGTTTGATTTTGGTTAAATTCTTAAGGTCATTTAATCATTATGTTTTGATCAGAGTTTTGATTAAAAGGTTTGGGTGGCCCGCGAAAGATTTTCAGATTTAGTTTAGAGTGACAAATCGTACCAGCGTGCTTTTAACAGGTTGGCAGGTCCGCTTATAGATACAACGGTGGAGCACTTTACTGCCTCGTCAGTCCCCTCACCTCAACATCTACCTCCTCAAAAACGGCCGCGTTAGCTAATCATTTCCCACCACGCCGCGTTCTCTCCTGCTGTGTTAAATGACTCCATTCATCAAGCTGTAGCTAACGTTAGATAAGTCTATGTCAACAAAGCTCCTGGGTAACTTAACTTAGACCAGAAAATATTAAAACCACCACTCACCCTGTTCGCAATTCACTGAATCTCGCGCTCCCTTCTGCCACGCGCACCTGTTCGCAGTTCACTGAATATGACCCCCCCCCCCCAATAAACTAATCGTGTCACCGATTTTGGTTTCAAAACGGCGAATTTCGCCGAAAGGTGAAGGATTTTCATGCCGGATTTATTTAGTCTAGAAATTACTTTCTTACTTGGTAGAGCTATTGGGAGAATTTCTAATTGCAAGTACCGCGGAGGTTAAAAAAAGCGGCACAGAAACGTTCACGCCAATTCTAACGTTAAATAACGGTTAGCTAAAATTAAGTCACTAGTTTTTTTTTTAGTTCGCCTAATGTTTTTTCCTCGTGGTTCTATTTCGTCTAAAACCAATAAAGCGGCGTTTCACCCAATAAAAATACCTTAACTCGATTTAGCCACAAGCTAAGTAGTAACGCTAAACGGCCAATGCGTTGTTGCTAACGTTAGCTTCTAATGTAATACCATAAACCGGTTTCTAACAAAAATACCGTAGCGTGGAAAGACGTTGTATCCAAACGACCGACATCCCACTCGTCGTTGCTTCCGTCGCTTTCAGCTCCAGCCGGGTAGGCGTTATCCATCTTTATCCAACTGGCTTAACTGACGTTCAACTACGGTCTTCTTCTTCTTCTTCTTCTTCTTCTGTGGTGTTTAACGGCGGCTTGCATCTTTTTTTGTTGCAATACCGCCATCTTCTGGCTCCCACCGCTTAAACTTTCCCCATCAGCCCTGTGGCCCGCAAAAAATGTATAAAGCACCTTCTTCCAAGCTTACTAGACCCCCACTCTAGTACACTGTTTGTCTCGCTTCCTTTCATCCCTTGCGTTTCCATTTCCTTCAGCAGGTCTTTCCTCTCAGCGCTGTATCTATTACAGGCGGAGATAACGTGTTACAGTTTCTGGCGCAGTGTGTTTCGCGGTTGCTGTGACCTATTTGCCATCGTGATTTCTTCTCTCCGGTTTCCTCCCCTGAATTTGACACTGCTCACTTTCTTCTGGATTGCGTGTAAGTGTCTCCCCCTCGTCTCTTGGTCCCATAGTTGTTGCCATACTCTGGTGATGTTTTTCTTGACGATGCCCTTTTCGTCTGCTTAAGATAGCTTAATATCTATTTGTACTTTGTTCTCCTTTAGTGCTTGTTTGGCTAGCTTATCCACCTTTTCATTTCCTTGGATACCTACATGGGCCGGTGTCCTTAAATAAATAATTTTAACTCCTTGTCCTACTGCTCTTAAGTTCATGCCCATTATTTTATGCACCAGATCTGGTCGGGTATTGGACTTTCCTGACTTCAGGCTTTTAAGGGCAGACATGGAGTCACTGCAAACAAGTACTTTTCCTGGTTTTTGTTGTTCAACCCACTCTAAGGCAATTGCATACAGTTCAACGGAGTACACAGCCAGACAATTTGAAGTGCGTTTGTATATTTCACACTTGTACGATGGGATCGCTACAGCAGCTCCTGTTTTGTCTGTATCTGGGTCTTTAGATCCATCGGTAAACACCTACACATTCTCTGCATATTTACTGTCTGTGTATTCATAGAACTCACTCACACGGTCAGGGTTCTTTCTTCTTACCTTACTTTGCAGCAACTCCATGTCCACCTCTGGTTCCTTAAGCAACCACACAGGAGTTATTGGCCAAATGTCAGCAGGGATAAGCTCTATCAGCTACTCCTAAACTTCTTGCTGCTGCTCCTTCTATCCATCCAAAACTAGTCTTTGGTCCTTTGTGCCTTTCCCAGCATGCCTGTACCACTTTTTTAACAGGGTGATCCTCTTCATGCCCTCTCAGGTTTACCCAATAATTAACCATCAGCTGTTTTCTGCGATGACACAATGGCGTTTCTCCAGTCTCTACTTGGATGGCGCACACAGGAGATGTTCTTGCTGCACCGATACAAATTCTCCTGGTCTGGTCTAACATCTAGTTGTTTAAGTGCGGTTTCTGATGCTGACCCATATGCTATACACCTATAATCTAGTCTGGACTTAATTAGTGCTTTGTACATGTGAGTCATGGCCGCGACCTCTGCTCCCCACGCCGTTCCCACCAGACATCTTAATACATTTATAACCTTTTTGCACTTATTACAAACATTTTTAATGTGGTTTTTCCATGTTAATCTGTTGTCGAATAGCACTCCTAAAAACCAAAACGACTCTACTATTTCTAACTTGTTTCCATAAAGATTCAGCTGGTAGTTTCCCCTTTTCCTCCGTCTTGTAAAGACCATCACTTTCGTTTTTGATGCTGAGAACCTAAACCCCCATAATTCAACTTGTTTTACCCTTTCTTTACATTACATTACAGGTCATTTAGCTGGCGCTTTTATCCAAAGCGACCTACATTTTTAACCCATGGCTTTCACATTTTGCCCAGGGAGCAATTAGGGGTTAGGTGTCTTGCTCAGGGACACTTCGAAATGGTACATGGGAGAGCCGGGACTCGAACTACCGACCTTGCAGTTCCCTTGCACCTTCTCTACCCCTGCGCCACGATGGCCCCTTGTATTTTTCCTACACTATGTTCCAAGTTTTTGCCTCTTTTCCACAAGGCCCCATGCAAATAGTGACCTTCCCACATCTGTTGAGACCTTTCCAAAGATGTCGTTTATTGCTATGGAAAATAATAGAGGACTTACCACACTCCCCTGCGGTGTCCCATTTTCTATTTCATATTTCCTGGACTTTTCCGTTCCCATTCTTACCTGGATTATTCTTTTACTTAAAAACTCCCTTACCCAATTAAAGAGGTTCCCCTTAATTCCCATTAGATGCATTTTAATCAAAAGACCTTCCCTCCAAAGCATATCATATGCCTTTTCTACATCAAAAACACTGCCGCCACATTTCCTTTATTAGCCTGTGCCTTTCTTACCTCGTCTTCTAGGCATAGGATTGAATCCAAGGTTCCCCTACCTTTCCTGAAACCCCTCTGGCACCCCACTAACACCACTCATTTACCATCCGTTCCATAAGTTTACATACATGTGATGTTAGGGCAATTGGTCTGTAATTTGCTGGGTCACTTGCATCTTTCCCCGGCTTCCTTAAAGGGACAATCACCGCCTCCTTCCACCTTGCTGGTATGCTACCTTCCTCCCACACCTTGTTGTATATCGTTTGCAACTTATTCAAGGCAGGGCAATTTTATTTGTATAGCACTTTTCATACACAAGGTGCTCAAAGACTCAAAGTGCTTCACATTATAACATTTCATACAATAAAGTGAAATAAAATGCAGGAATTAAAAGACAATTAAAAACAGCAAATAAAATTATAAATTAAAATCTTATTTAAATTGTTTAATTAAAGGCAGAGGTTAAAAGTGCAATGTAGGTAAAATTTAGCAGAAGGCGAAGCTGAACATAAAAGTTGTCAGTCTTGTTTTAAACGTGGTCAGAGTTGGGGCAAGTCTTAAATCTTTTAGTTTATTCCAGCTGTTTGTTGCGTAGTAACTAAATGATGCTTTCCCATGATTTGTATTTACTCTGGGAATCACTAACAGATGGTGTCAGATCTTAGTGATCTTGAAGGCTTATGTAGTGGAAGCATATCAGTGATATACTTAAACCATGTAGTGATTTATATGTGAGCAGTAGGATTTTGAAATGAATTCTCTGACATACTGGGAGCCAATGTAAGGATTTAAGAATTGGTGTAATGTGCTCACATTTTTTGGTCTTTGTTAGAACTCTAGCAGCAGCGTTCTGAACAAGCTGGAGCTGCCTGACAGTTTTTTTTGGAAGACCTGCAAGGAGACCATTACAATAGTCTAGCCTACTAGTTATAAAGGCAGTACAAGTGTTTCTAAGTCTTGAGCTGACATGAGCCCTCTAAGTCCTGCTACATTTTTGAGGTGGTAGTAGGCCGATTGTGTTACTGATTTGATGTGACTCTCCAAGTGTAAATCTGAATCCATAATAACTCCCAGAATTCTGGCTTTATTTGATGTTTTCAGGGACAGAGAGTGAAGGTGTTGGGTTACTTTAAACCTTTCTCTTTTAGCACCAAATACAATGATCTCAGTTTTGTCTTCATTTAGTTGTAGGGAATTTTTACACATCCAGTCTTTGATTTGCTCAATGCACTGGAACAGAAGATCTATGGGGCGATAGTCGTTTGGTGATAGCTGTCACGGTGTGGTTCACTTCCTGTTGTATTTTGTAGTTTTCTGCCACCCGTGTCCCCGGGCAACTTCACTTCCTGCCTTGTCCTGTCATCCCCTGTGATCGTCTCATAGTTTCCACCTGTGTCCAATCACCTGCACCTCCCTTGTGTATTTAAGCTGTGTGTCTCTTGTGTCACTTGTCGCGTCACTGTCTATCGTCGTGGATGTTCTTAGTTTCCTGCCTGCTGGTTTCCCCTGGTTCCTGTGTGTTTTTGCCCCTTGGCCTTTTGATTTTGGATCTTGTGACTATTAAAGTCTTTTGTTTTCCGTGAAGTCTGCGTTTGAGTCCTGCCTCCACCCACATCCCTGACAATAGCGCTACATAGATTTGGGTGTCATCAGCGTAGCAATGGTGGTCACTTTTATTTCTTTGCATGATTTGTCCTAGTGGGAGCATGTAGATGTTGAATAAAGTCGGCCCTAAGATCGAACCTTGGGGGACTCCACACGTTACCTCGGTTGTTTCTGATTCGAAGTCACCAATGGAAACAAAATAGTTCCTGTCTTGTAGATATGACCTGAACCAGCTTAAGACTGTGCCTGAGAGCCCCACCCAGTTTTCCAACCTGTCCAAAAGTATTGAGTGGTCGACAGTATCAAATGCAGCACTGAGGTCTAATAGCATTAATATTGAAGTTTTGCCAGAGTGTGTTAAGACGGATGTCATTTACAACTTTAATAAGGGCCGTCTCTGTGCTATGAAGAGGTCGAAATCCTCTTCCTTCCTCTTGGAAGTTGTCGTGGCAGCCAGTTGAAGCCAGGAAGTGATTAAGTTGTTGTAGGACAACTTTCTCAATTATTTTACTTATGAAAGGTAGATTTGAAATTGGTCTGTAGTTGTTGATAATAGAGGCATCTAGGCTCCGCTTTTTTAGTAGAGGTTTAATAACTGCAGTTTTGAAAGCTTTTGGGAAATGGCCTGTCTGAATAGAGTTATTAACTATTTGCAATACGTCTGTTGCTAGGCAGTCAAAAACATTCTTAAAGAAGTTGGTAGGTAGAGCATCAAGACAGCAGGTGGATGGTTTTAAATTTGTCTATGTTATCTTCTTTAAACACCATCCTTTCAGATTTCCCACTGTTAACTTTAGCTCCCGAAGCCTTTTCATAATCATTTATATGATTCATTACCCCCTCTATACATGTACTGTTTTTTACAAAAATATTAATATCATCCGCATACTGTACTACCTTTAAATTCCTATTCCCATTCGTGCTGATCCCTACTATCCTGTCATCGTTATTCATCATTAGAGCCAACGGTTCGACCACCAGGCTGAAGAGCGTAGCTGACATAGGACATCCCTGTCGGATTGACCTCCGTAGCCCTACCTGCTCGGTCAGGAACCCATTTACCTTTATCCTGCTTTTGGCATTTACATACAATAATTTGACCCAATTAATATATCTCTCCCCAAAACCATATTTACTTAAAACCTCCCATAAAAAACTATGCTCTACTTGA